AGATAGATAGATAGATAGATAGATAGATAGATAGATAGATAGATAGATATACTGCACATAATCAACATATACCACACGGGTTGTGTGACAGGTTATTGCACAGGTTGTGACATTAAGGTTGAATTATTAGTTATTTCCAGTTGTTCAGTGTTATTTATCAGTAGTTCAGTAATCTGACAGCTTGTGGATAATAACTGTCCTTTTGTACACGATGGCAGACTCCTGAATCATCTGCATGAGGGCAGTAGACAGAAGAGTCCTTGTACTGGGTGGGTGTGGTCTTTAATGATGCTGCGTGCTTTACGCAGACATCGGTTGTGGTAGATGTCCTGGATGGTGTGGAGACTGCTACCAGTGATGTCCTCTGCTGTTTGCACCACCTCTGTAGAGCTTTCTGACTGGTGCAGTTCCCTGTTAGTTAATGAACTGATAACTGATCATCATATTGATTTATTGTGTCTGACAGAAACTTGGCTACAACAGGAGGATTTTGTTGGTATAAATGAATCCATCCATCCATCCCATCCATCCATCATCTTTACTCGCTTATTCCATTTTGGGTCACGGGGGTCGCTGGTGCCCATGTCCAGCAATCACTGTGCGAGGGGCGGGGGACACCCTGGACGGGTCTCCAGTCCATCACAGGGACACATAGAGACAAACGAGACAAACAACCATTCACTCTCTCACTCACACCTAGGGACAATTTAGAGTTACCAATCAGCCTAACATGCATGTTTTTGGTCTGTGGGAGGAACCCAGAGTACCCGGAGAAAACCCACGCATGCACGGAGAGAACATGCAAACTCCACCCAGAAAGGCCCCTGGACCGGGGTTTGAACCAGGGACCTGCTCGCTGAGAGGCAGCAGCTCTACCAGTTGTGTCACCGTGCTGCCGGACTTGGTAATAGTTCCTCAAAATCCTGTTCTGTCCGACCATTTTTTAATAACTGAGTTTACATTAAATGACTACACAGTCACTGAGAGTAAATCTCATCTCAGCAGGTGCTTATCAGAAAATGCTGTAACCAAATTGAAACAATCTCTTCCATCAATGTTTTCCTCTGTCTTACAGAGTAATGCATCAGAGAACAGAGACTTAGATCATCTAGTTGATCATCTTACAACTTCAATGCAAACTTCACTTGATAAAACTGCTCCACTGAAAAAGAAAGTAATCAATCAGAGGAAACTGGCTCCTTGGTTCAATTCTGAGTTACATACTTTAAAGCAGCATCTAGAAACCAGGAGAGAAAATGGCACTCTACTAATGTTGAAGAATTTTATTTACCTTGGAAAGATATTCTGCTAACATATAAAAAAGCTCTCCGTAAAGCTAGAACTTTATATTACTCATCTTTAATAGAGGAGAATAAAAATAACCCTAGGTTTCTGTTTAGTACTATTGCTAGACTAATTAAAAGTCCCATTTCTGTTGAACCATGTGTCCCTACAACTATAAGTAGTGATGACTTCATGAGATTCTTTATAAATAAAATTATTTCAATTAGAGAGAAAATTCAAACCATCCTTCCTTCTACTATCTCTAGTCCCCTGTCAAATGAGGCAACTTTAAAAATTTCACTAGAGCCTGATTTATGTTTGGACAGTTTTTGTCCTGTTGAGCTCTGAATTGTCAAAAATAATAACCTCATCCAAACCATCCACATGCCTGCTAGATCCCA